ACGCCATTCTCCTGCCTCAGCCTCCCGAGTAGCTGGGACTACAGGCGCCCGCCACCTCACCTGGCTAGTTTTTTTTGCATTTTTTAGTAGAGACGGGGTTTCACCGTGTTAGCCAGGATGGTCTCGATCTCCTGACCTCATGATCCTCCCGTCTCGGCCTCCCAAAGTGCTGGGATTACAGGCTTGAGCCACCGCGCACGGCCGGGGCCAGACTTTCATCAGGGCAGCCTGGTTGTGATTTTTGCCTTGGTTTCCACCTCAGTGATCTCTAGCACATTGTTTCACAGGAGTGTTGACTGATTACTATTGGTTCCCTGAAGGGATATACCAAGAAATACCTCAATTTTTCTGGGCTTGTTCTTATGCACAATGATGGGAGGCGTGTGTGTGTGTGTGGGGGGGGGGGTGTGTGTGTGTGTGCGCGCGCGCGCGCTGGGGCAGGTCCTCTCATTTTCTCATTTCTTTCCCCTTGTTCTCTCTTTTTGCCCCAAGTTAGAAACAGAGTCTCTTATGGGGCTTCCTGCTCTTTCCCTCTCCCATCCACCTTTTGAGTGGGGGTCACTCCAGACCAATGGGAGGATGCTGGATTCCAAATGGACCAATTGGCTTATTAGGGACCTGGAATACCTGGATAGCTAGCATCTGCCTCATTGTCCTTGTGGTAACGACCCTCTTGTTTTACTGGTCAACAATTTGAAGGTACAAGAAAAATCCTGCTTTTTTTTTTCTTTTGATGGCTTTAATCCACCTCCACAACTTCTGCCCGAGGCCAATAAAACACAGCCATTCTCTCTTTGTAAAAAGAAAGAGGGGTTGGGTTTCCTTCAATTGTCTGCCCTTTTCTATCTCCTCCACTATTTTTGTTTTACTCTGTAGTTAACTTTGCATAGAGCAGCTTCATGGAGAGGATCTGTGCGGTGGACCCGGGCACTCTCTTCTTATTACCGGTTGCAAAGGCCTCTTCCTTGTTCTAACCTGGGGTTTGTGGGGCTGGGGGACAGAGGAGTGGGGAGTGGGAGAAGAGTTTAGCCATAGTCTTCCTTCTGCATTTCACACACATTCTGCTCTCTCTGCCGCTCTGTCACTCACTCACACACACACATACACACACACACACACAACACACACATACACACACACACACCCGCCCGGGTCCCTCTCTCTGTGTCTTCCTTCAAGATGACAGGGCGCTGGAGAAAAGGCTGCTGGAATCAGCTGGTAGGTACAGTAGTAACCCGAGCCCCACCCACCGGCTGCCTTTGCTTGCTCAGGTTTCTCCGGTCACTCCTGCCAGGGGAGAAGACATGTAAACGTGCCTCCAGAGGAAGGGCTGGGGGAGCTGGGAGTGGCGGGGGCGGCGGAAGGTGAGCCTGGGAAGGTGTCCGAGCGCCCCTTCTTCTTTGGCCCTTCCCAGTGCTCCCTTGGGGTGTCAGCCCCAACCCCGTTTGCCCCCACTCCGCCTCCCTTTTGGAAGGGATTGCCTTTTTTTTTCCTCTGCGGCGGCGGAAATGACAGTGTGGTGCTGCCGTGGTGTCATGGTGCTGCCCCTGGACTGAGGGGCGAAAACTCTTAACTTTAGCTCGGGAGACCCAGCCGCGGTAGCATCGCGGCCGCCGTGCTATCCCCTGCGGGGCGCGCGGGCTGGCG